TTCTCAAGTCCCCCACTTTTGCTCCTGGTGCCTCCCGCCTGCCTAGTGCCCCCATAGCAAGCAGCTTGCTCTGGGGGCACCCGAGCAGGCTAGCTCCTGAGCCGCTGCTCAGTGTGCCCTTTACGCTCACTCTTCATTGGCTCACTGGCTGTGATTGACAGTAGCAAGACCCAAGGGCTACCACTGCTGTCTCAACAATGATGAAGAGACACCGGAGAGCCAAGGCGCTGGACAGCGATGGGGCTTAGGTAAGTTTTAGGGGGGCTGAGGGTCTTGCTGCACGTAGGTTTTTTTACCTTCATGCAATAGACTGCATGAAGGTAAGAAACCTTGAGCCTCTACTACCACTTTAGTACATGAAACCTATTTCTCTCCTAACATCAGAATCTACAATGCCCAATAATTCAACCTATATCACTTTTTTGGAAGGTTTTTCTGCTGTTCACATTGAATATAAAATATTTGTGAAAAAAATTCACTAGCGTAAACCAGAATATTTGGAAGATTGTAAGGAATCACACAATGGTGCCTTGTGCACCCATCTCACGTGAATTTAGGGGAGAAGAAAATGTGTCCTAATTAAAAGTGCGAAGAGAGAACAAAAGTCACGCTGTGTGCTAAGAATAGAAAACCTCGGAATATGCAGCAAAGCACTGGGAATGCTTCACTTCCAATGTAATGTTTATAGAGTGAACCAGTCAGCTGGGAACATCTATTGTGTTTGCCTACAGTCATCCGTACTGTACAAGTAGGGCTTTTATTGTAAATTACATGAGAAACAAAATAATTGAGTAGTGTTTCATGCCCTGCTAACAAAGAGCCTCATGTATGGAAGTGTCTAAAAGGAAAGCCTATTGCCTATAGCAACCAGTCAAATGCCTGTCCACTTTTAAGTACTGGTTGGAAAAATAAAAGCAGAAGCTAATGGGTGGTTTTGGATGTTTATATTACATAAAGTCCTCTATTTTAGGTATGCCAAGCATTAATTTGCGCTTTGAGTATGGGGTGTATTTAGAAAAACAAAATGCAGTGCTGTTGGTCCTGTGAAGCTGCATGTACGTTTGTTCTGCTTGAATGGAGGCAAACACTAATGTTATTAGGCTATTTTCCATCCAGATTGAATGGTATTCATCACACAGGATCGAGTAAATCAGGAAAATACCACAATATGACCACTACATGGCGCTGTTGAACATGGGAAATGTTTATTTGCTATGATCAGAAAAGTCAGCATTATGGCCACTAGATCGATCATAATATTTATTTCCTTTGATCGTGAGCTCCATCTGTAGTGGCCATAAATGTGGTATTCCCACATTCACTCATTCTATATGAAGAATAACAATCAAACTGAAAAGAAAATGGCATTTGTTTTTGCCACCATTCACACAGAACACATATACGTGCAATTTCCTAAGACGAATAACTCTGAAATTTAAAAAAAAAAAAAAATGACACTCCCTTTCAGGACTATAATTAATACATATTCACTCTGGTTACTCAGACGTTATCTCCTCTGTGAGGCTCCGTTTACACCAGTGCATTTTTTAGTGCTTTTTGTAGAAACGCACTACAGTCCATTTAACATGATTTCAAATGGAACATATTCACATCTATGCTTTTTTCAGCGTCTGCGTTTTTGGAAAGGGTCAGGGACTTTTTTAAAAGCAAAAAGCAGCATTTGTTCTACAATAGAGTTTAATGGAGAAGCTGCTGAAATGCATGGTAGTGCGTTTTTGCCACATTTTGTCCAGCAACCAAAAAAAAAAAATCCACTTTAACAAAAAAGACCTGAACAAAACGCAAACGCGTAAAAAATACATCATAAACGCATGTAGAGAAAGCGCAAAACAAACTGCAAAAAGCACTGGAGAAAGCATCAAACGAAAAATGCATATATGTGAATGGAGCCTGAAAGTACTTTTGAATTAACTGATGCTGCAGGCTTCTGCTAACTTGCAGGCATTTTGCACCATAGACCCCAGATTCACCCCCCTTTATTTTTTTTTCTCCCCACTGTTGTTCTACCCACTTAGCTGTAGTTATTCTGATTAGAAAAGTCGATAACTTTAAGTTGATTGTATAGACATGACCTTTTTTTTACTGATTATCGGTAGTGTATGTAGATTTGTGGATGGTATTCCCCATGCACAGGGGTAGAGTCAGTAACACATCCCCTGGCGTCTGTCAGACAATGGCTTGGTTTGTTTGCTTCTTCTGGCTCCTGATTGCTGATTTGGTGGAAAATAGTGTGCAGAGAAACACAATGGTGTAGTGTAGCATTATCTGGAGCCAGGGAACTGACAGAGGGAGGTGTCTTATCAGAGCGAACAGCTGGATTTGTTTCTGGAAGCGTCTGACCACTGTGCTGCTGCCTGACATAATGGAAATTGGTTGTTTTATGTGCCTCTGTAATGTAGCAAATTAAACTGTCGGGAAGATTTTATGAGCACTCCTGCATGCGAGCAAATGAGGTTTCTTCTATTCCATATTGAGATAGGTGTTGCATTATAATAGTTGTAATGGATAATTGGCAGCATGCGCCAACTAATATGAATAAGATGGGCACATTGATATTTTTTGATTTCACACCATTAGCTCATTGCCATGAAATGAAAATGACTGTGTCTGTTGACAAAAATCTGTGAGAGCAGCAAATACCTGATCACCGGCATGGAGACAATTGATCAGACAGGTTGGAAGATCTGTCCTAATTATTGTTCTTACTGACATAAAAGTGACATTTATATCCCCTCCTTGCTCCCTCTTCCTTCCCTCTTCTATTCACGAGTCCAAGCATTAGGCTGGGCCAAATGTTCATTTTCATGACCAGGGGCGGACTGACAACTCATGGGGCCCCTGGGCAATAGGGGATCATGAGGCCCCTGTGTCCTTGCCCAAACTCAAAAAAGCTTATGAAAAAGGTACCATGGGCATCTCATGTGGCCCCCTTCTGACCCTGGGCCCTCGGGCAGTGCCCGATTTCCAAATGGTTAGTCCGTGTTCATGACTACACCACCAATGCTAATGCCAGTGTGGTAGTTGCATGGTGCTTCCAGTTCTGGCCTCCCATGTAGGTCACTCTAATAGTAGCCTCACATTTGTGCTATGTGCCTGTTTAAATTGTTTTGCTCTAAGGACAACTGTATAACAGTTCTCTTTTTTAAGTGACTATTTCTTTCCCAACAACCATCCAAAGTCTAAGGCACGCCATACATGATGGCCTGCCTTAGACTTTGGGATTTTAGGACATTCAGTGTGGATGGGGAAATTCCTCCTGTGGAACTATTGTATTCTGACAGCAGAGAGACTTCCTCTCCATCAGAAAATACTCATCAGCACTGCCAGCTATAGCCGGCACCACTGATCGAGCGACAGTTTTCCAAGAGGCTGATTGTAGTCCCTGCTAAACTGGCTGAATTTCGATCCATCTATGACTGGCCTATAATGGTTTTTATTTTTTCCTCTTTATTGGGCAATGGGAGGATAGAGGAGAAGGTGTTACATGGGACAGCACAGCATACTGATCCTTCATACGCAGGTCGGGAATCCAGAAAACATATCTAAGGCGGTACAAATCTTGGTACAAAAGGGGTCCAATGCATATGCTACGTTCACGTGATGACGTGTTTACATGATACGCGTTGGGTGGAGTTACCTGTGACGTCATCACGCATGCTCGATGTTGGGCAGCGGTGCCATATTTTGAATAAATGCTTGTGTTTTATATTGTGAATAAAATGTTTAAATAAAACCCTATGCAAGTTTTGATATTGATTATTTTTATTCTTTCTGAAAATTACCTGAGGGATGATTGCTGACATGGTCCGTTGGAGCTCTGAGAGGGAACTTGGAGCTATGTGATGTGATTGATTCCAAGCTGCCATCATTTGCTGTCAGACTGAGCAATAATTTAGAGGTCTGATCAGTTTGGTAAGGAGCATATTTATTGGTGGTGGGACTCACCACAGGATATCTTCTGTGTGACCCTTAGGGGTTTATTTACTAAAGCTGGAGAGTCCAAAATCAGACTCCCTTCTGCATAGAAACCAATCAGCTTCTAACCTCAGCTTGTTCAATGAAGCTTTGGCAATGAAACCTGGAAGCTGATTGGTTTCTATGCAGAAGGGAGTCTGATTTTGGACTCTCCAGCTTTAGTAAATAAACCCCTTATTGTCACCTTGAGTGTGGAGGATTTCACATTTAGACTTTGTGCTTGTTTTATCTTTTGGCATTTGCACTTTACAAGTGGCACTTTAATCTATGAATTAATATTCATATTTATTTATGACACTTTATATAAATGTAATGTATACATTCTGTATTTTATTTTTATTTACTATTGAAAAATTTTTATATATGAATTTTTGATCAAAAGTATAAAACAGTACCTTATTGCAGCAAAGCAGTGTTTCCCTAATTTTAGCATTGGAAGTTGAAATTGGAAAAGGTCTATTATTGGTTAGGATGCTTATAGTTGTATCTCCTGGGGAACATGCTGGGATACCTATGCCCATTCGCTGTATTGCTTGGCTTGCTGCTACTTCTCTTGCATGTAACAGACAGATGGAAGTCATTTATGTGAAGGTAGCCCTTCTATACTAAAGACTTTCTCTGTCTCATACTTCCAAAAAAAACCCCAAAAAATAGTTTTTACCTTTCTCTACTCTATCCAATTAAGAAAAGTGTTGCAGTCCTCAGCAGAAAGACCAGTATGAAATGTTTTCTGAGTGTATTATACCAAATGTGTTACCAGTGTGTGGTTTTTTTTTTTTCACTGTGTTCTGTGTTTGCCAGTGTTTCTTTAACCATCTCCCGTCCGGCCGTTGTATATAAACGGCCGGACGGTGGCAGTGCAGGGTCAGGTGGCCGTTTATAAACAGCCTCCCCGTACCCTGCTTGTGCGCGCTCTCTGGGAGCTCGCAGCACCGTGATCCAGTGCCCTCTGTGTCCTCCGGACACAGTGGAACACTGATCGTCCGACGGGACCTTTGCCATTCATAAACGGCACCCGCTATTTCTAGTTGTGCGCGCTCCCTGGGAGTGAGCAGCACCGCGATCCGGTGCCCGCTGTGTCCTACAGACACAGTGAAACACGATCGTCGGAGGGGACCTCTGTACGAGGTCCCGATCATGTGATCACTGATTGGCCAATCAGTGATCACATGCAGAGTAGTAAGCAAGATATCACTTGTGACATCATTGCTTACTACGTGTGAAATCTGTGAATGATCACAGAAGTCACATGGTACAAGGCTATTCACAACAGCCTTGTACCATGTGACAAGTTTTGATCAATCAGAGCTCACTCAGTAGTTCTCAATGGCTGCAAGAATGCAGCCAGAGAGAAGGAGAAATGATTTCTTTTACAGCCTATATGGGTGTAAAAGCAATCGGTGTAAAAAAAAAAAAAAAAATCTTCATCACCCCTCACAAGTAGTACAGTGTCACCATGGTGACATTGTACTGCTAGGGTGACAAGTATGTAAAAAAAATATAAATAAATATATATATATATATATATATATATATATATATATATATATATATATATATATATATATATATATATATATATATATATATATTTCCCAAAATTTTGAAAAAAAGTGTTTTTCTTATAAAATTTTGCAAATAGTATTTCATCATAAATCTTGGCCAAAATTCCGAATTTATCTTTTTAGTGTAAAAAAAAAAAAAAAAAGTAACCCAAATTAGCTTATAACCAAATATTATAGTTTTTAAACTTATATATATATATATATATATATATATATAGTTTAAAAATTATAAAAACTATAATATTTGGTTATAAGCTAATTTGGGTTACTTTTTTTTTTTTTTTTTTTTTACTAAAAAGATAACGGAATAAATTTAGGCCAAGATTTATGATGAAATACTATTTATTTGCAAAATGTTATTAGAAAAACACTTTTTTTCAAAATTTTGGGACTTTTTCATTTACATAGCAAAAAAAATAAAAATCCCAGTGGTGAATAAATAGAAAAATAAAGCGTTATCTGTCTCAAAGAAATGCTAAAAAATTCATATGGGTACAGTGTTGCATGACTGCGCAATTGTCATTCAAAGCGTGATCGCACTGAAAGCTGAAATTTGGCCTGGTCAAGAAGGGGGTAAAAGTGTCTGGACTTGAAGTGGTTAAAGTGATTGAAACCCTCACATATACCCAGTGAAGTGACTAGCCTCAGGTGATACACAGAGATGAAACCAATGCTCCTACATAAGTTGTATCAGTTTATCTGCAGCCATCTGTCCCCTACATCCATTCAAAGTGCAGAATTTACACAGGATCTCTCAGCTCTGAAAAGCAAGGGGCGGAGAGCTGAAGTTGCATCAGTGAGGAGAGCTCTCACAGCTGATTGAAGAGAAGAGACACACCCCCTGCAAATAGGAACAGAGCTGAGGCTGTCAGTCTACTGGAGGTCCCTCCCTGTCACCATTTTTCTCTTGGTGTAAGAAGTGACTCATACTGATAGAGGAAAGAAGGCAGCATACAGACGTGACCCTTAGTTTTCTAGTTTGATACAAGTACACTATAGAAGGATATGTTTTGTTCATACTTGAATTTGTGTGTCTGAGGCTAACAGCTACTTTAATCGAAACCTATATGACCACGCCTGCTTTCCACTGGTGACATCCACTTTTCACCATGGTGCACTACATGCTCACATTCCATCCCCTTTAGCAAATTGTCCCTCTTTGTCAAGTTCAAAAGTTTTTAGGCATGCAAGCACAGTGCAGAACAAGACATGGTAAGTCAGTATCTGGGAAAGGTCAGTTGAAGTCAGACCACAGGCAATACTGGTGACTAGTCTTTTGTCATCTTCCTGTTTTTTTGGGCCACAGCTTCCAAAGTTCAGTTTCTACTATGCAGTATGTTACAGCTATGTTTAGCCTGAATGCTGAGACTTGCATTTCCAAAGCTTGGAATGGTTATTCAGTGCAGTCATATACTGCATTCACACTGGCAATAACAAACCTGCAACTATATGCGTTTTTATAGGACATTTTTAAACTCATGCAGTTATTTTAATAGTATTTACATTTCAGGTTTTAGATGTAGTTGGGTACATTCCATTTAGAGAAAATAGAAGAGCATATGGTGTAAATGAACCCTGAATGCATTTAAATGCATGTAATCGCAAGTACATTTTAAACATTTTTTTCATATTTTCCAGATAAATTCTTCTGCATCTAAAGGAGAAGTATGGGATTATAAAAGATAATAAAACGCACATAGTTACCACCTTGCTGTAGCTGTTCCCCGCCAGCTCTGAGCCCAACACTGAGCAATCATAAGTCTACTCTTGTTGAAGGCTTTTTTTTTTCCTCCGAAAAATTCAACTCAAATTGTGCACAAATGTGAAACGGCCCTTAGGCTCCATGCACACTGAGCAGTTTAATAACGCTGGTAATGCTATCTGTGTAAAGTCACTTTAAAAACATGAGTTTTTCAGCGATTTTTAGTGTTTAGTAGCATTATGCCGTGTTTTTTTTATTTTTATTTTTTTGCATTTTTTTAAGCTTTTTTTTTTTTCTTTACCAAAAAAATATATATTTTTTTTGCTCAAAAAAAGTCCAAAAACACCAGTTCGCTGCGTTTTGCTGTGTTTCAGCGTTAGAGTGTTTTTACAGTTTAAAAAAGTCCTCTAGAAACCCTCTAGTTTTGAGGGTTTTTTTCCAGCCAGAAAACACGCTGATTACAGTGTATGTGTGCATGGACACATAGGATAACATGCTGGGGGGTTTACTGGCTGTAGAAAAAACACTCCAAAAGCCAAAAACAGTAGCTGTAAAAACATCCAATGTGCATGAGGACTTAGCAGTGGTATTACGACCTAAATCCGAAGTATGGCAGATCTGGCTCAGGGATACTGGTTATCATGCAGTCAACACCCTCCGTCAGCTCTGAGCCTGAAAACTTTAGCAATCACTAGACTGCTGTTGCAGAGAGCTGACTGTGCATCCCAGGATGAGCCTCTGGTTGTTAGGAAGCTGGCGGGTGTCAGCTCCCTGATAACCAGTAACCCTGAGCAGGAGCTGTCACATTTAGTAGCAGTAGTAATGCATTTTTTTTTTTTTTAATTATACTTACCTAGGTGGATGCAGCATTGATCTGATGCCGCATCTGCCCCCGCTGACTCAAAGGTTGAGAACTGAGCAATCAGACACTGCTGATCGCTCCGTTCTCCCTGCCACTCTGAGCAGAGAGCAGTGAGTGTCAGTCACTGCAGTTTGCTCAAAGGCGCCCCCCACCCCAGTGCTCACTGGAGCACTAGGCCGTGGAGGGGACGGGAGCTGCTGGCTCAGGCTCTCAGCAGATCACTGAGAGGCTGAACCAGCTGCTAGTCCAGGGATCTGGGTGGAAGGGGATCTTTCTCCCGTTTGCACTGGCTAAGTGATGTCAGCTGACAGCGAATTTTAGCCAACTGTCGGCTGAAAACAAGTGCAGAATGAACTGCACTCCTGTGATCCGAAGGAGAAGTACAGCCAAACAAGCTTTGTCTGTACTTCTTTAATGCCCGGTCTATGATAAAATAAGGTAAAAAAAAAAAGCGCAAAATACTGTAAAATGTAACACTTTTGGTAACTTACCTGATAAATTCCGACTGAGTTATTTTAATACAAAAATTCATGTGGTATTTATCATTTAATGAATTGATTCCACTGTCCCTCACGCATACAAAACATTTTATAATATCTAACCTACATTTTTGTTGTAACAAAGCTGCTTTCATTAAAAAGAAAAAAACTAAAAAAAAAAAACCCCCAAAGCTGTCCATAGTACTGGTAACCTATATAGACTTCTGTCAAGGCTTGGAAACTGAACCTGTTTTTAGCTGACAGAAGCTGTCATAATTTTCCATGGAACAAACGGCTCAAGCTGTATATTCCACAGGAAACAAATATTTGCCAGCTTTTTAGTTTTGGATAGCAGACAGGTCATTGTAAAATTCTGCCTAGTTGGTACTGTTTATGGTATAGTTTTTACTATTAATGTGAGAAATTCATACATGCTTGCCATAATTGGGTCATATGAAAACATGTAGAACAGCCAGCTGAATTGTGAGAGAATTAGAATGGCTGTGTATGCGGTACAGTATTTATTTCAGGTACTTCTATAGCACTGTCAATTTACGCAGCACTTTACATATATATTGTACATTCACATCGGTCCCTAACCCTCAGGGAGTGTACAATCTAAGGTCCCTAAGTCACATTCATACATACACATACTAGGGCCAATTTAGACAGGAGCCAATTAACCTACCAGCATGTCTTTGGAGTGTGGGAGGAAACAGGAGTACCTGGAGGAAACCCTCGCAGGCACAGGGAGAACACACAAACTGCAGGCAGGTGGTGCCGTGGCTGGGATTCGAACCAACGACCCTAGTACTGCCAGGCGGAAGTGCTAACCATTTATCCACTGTGCTGCCCACTTATATGTATGTATGTACAGTATTTTTTTGTCTGACCCCGCCTGGATAATTTACCTGCACTATTTGTGAAAGGGACTGCTATAAAGAAGGAATGTGATGGGAAATTAAAATATTACAGCTGTCACAAGAACACAAGGTGAAAAACAAATCTTTCGATGTGGACCCGCTGTTTTAGTGACATCTAAGAAGGGAATTGTCCTCACTTTGTAGAGATTTCTGATAAATTCCTGTTACATCTCTGGGACAGGAAGTGAAGGGAAATGTACCTACTGGGGCACAGACAAGAAACACACATACCCCTTTAAACATCAACATGTGCCGCGGAAAAATGGCCATATGTATCACTGGGCAGCCATTGTTAATGTGCGCTTCCAGCACAAAGACTGAGCTGTCAAAGACATCACTCAGTCTGGACTCAGGCTAAGTTTACACATATGTAGCTCTGCGAGCTACATGGCAGCCAGTTCATTTAAATGGGCAAGCCATGCCTCCTGAAACTCAGGGAAAAGATCCCTGCACCTTGTCTAGAATTGCAACCTGCACGGGAACCGCACGTGCAGTGCAGTTCCCAGTTCAGGAATGATTTTCAGTGCATACAGTGTGCCATTAGGATTAATGGGACCCACACACATCCAGTCCGTTTTTCTGTGCAGGTGGTTGCAGGTGGTGAGAATCGCCCACACAGATGTTAACCTAACTAAAGGGCTGGTTCACATCACAATATCTGCGTTCTGAATGTGTTTCTGCATATGTGTTTTTTATGAGTTTCGGTGTATTCCCCCCCCCTTTTTTTTTCCCCCCTCCATCTCAGTTGAGGACATTTGCATTCTGGTGTGTTTTTCATGTACCTTGTCACGTTCCAGATGCATTCCATACAGAAAAATTGCAACGTATTCTTTTTTTTTTGTTGACTGCAGTGGAACTCACTGCACTAGTGTTAACTAGGGTCATTGGAATCCATGATAAACACTGTTGATTTATTTTTGATACGGAATAAAAACACACTGGACTGAACCAGCCCTAAGGATCAGTAGCCAGCTGAACTGGCTTCTGATCATGTGGCCACTGTCACAGTGGTCGCAAGATCAAAGATCCTTCCTGCTCCCGGATGTTCAGAACTGTTTAGGGGCACCAAAGTGGGCAGGAAGGAGTTAAGCTGAACTCTGGATGCGGTGGGGGGGATTTTTTTAAAATTGTTTTTGGGACATTTGCAATGTAAAAACACCTCTGAACAATGGGAACTGACTGCTGGAAAACGTAGGTTAAAAAATGTCTGTTTAGCCACGTTTGCATACCGCGTTTATGAGCGTTTGCATTTAGTAGTGTTTTTTTAACCACCTCCCGTTCGGCCGTTGTATATAAACGGCCGGACGGTGGCAGTGCAGGGTCGGGTGGCCGTTTATAAACGGACTCCCCGCACCCTGCTTGTGCGCGCTCCCTGGGAGCGCGCAGCACCGCGATCCGGTGCCCGTTGTGTCCTCTGGACACAGTGGAACACCGATCTTCGGACGGGACCTCTTTACGAGGTTCCAATCATGTGATCACTGATTGGCCAATCATTGATCACATGCAGAGTAGTAAGCAATATGTCACTTGTGACATCATTGCTTACTACGTGTGAAATCTATGAATGATCACAGAGGTCACATGGTACAAGGCTATTCACAACAATCTTGTACCATGTGACAAGCTGTGACCAATCACAGCTCACTCAGTAGTTCTCAATGGCTGCAAGAATGCAGCTAGAGAGGAGGAGAAATGATTGCTTTTACAGCCTTTATGGTTGTAAAAGCAATCCGTGTAAATAAAAAAAAAAAAAATCACCCCTCACACGTAGTACAGTGTCACCATGGTGACACTATACTGCTAGGTTGACAGTATGTAAAAAAAAAAAAATAATATAAATTAAAAAAGATTTATGATGAAATACTATTTATTTGTAAAATTTTATATTAAAAAAACACTTTTTTTCTAAATTTTTGGACTTTTTAATTTACATAGCAAAAAAAAATAAAAATCCCAGCGGTGAATAAATGCCACCAAAATAAAGCTTTATCTGTCTCTTCATATGGGTACAGTGTTGCATGACCGTTCAATTGTCATTCAAAGTGTGATAGCACTGAAAGCTGAAAATTAGCCTGGACAGGAAGGGGGTAAAAGTGTCCAGGCTGGAATTGGTTAAAGATAACCTCAGGGGACCTTCCAAAATGCCTAGAACACACTGAAAACCAGTAAAAAAATTAACTGTTTCAGACATTTTGAGAGAAATCGAGAGAGCAGAAGCAGAGAGCAGTATAAATGCGGTTAGCCGCGTTTATAAGCGTTTTGGTGTTTGAAACGCTGATAAAATCTTCTCCTGAATGCAAGTTTGGTACATTCAAAAAAAATTACTGTAAACTCAACTGCCTGTAAACGACTGTGTACATGGACACATAGGAAAACATTAGAGAGAGTTCAGAGGCTGCGAAAAAAAAAAAAAAAAAGCAGAAAAAATCCCGAATGTCAGTTTTTTCAGCTGCAGTGTACATGAACCCTAATAGTGAGTCACTTGCTCTCCACCTCCTTCATTCATAAGATATCTTGTATTGGAAGAGCAGCAGAAAAATGTCACAATCTCCACAGATCCGATCACAGAACACCTTGCATTTGGTGAAAAGAATACATTTTATGAATGGAGGAGTTTAGAAACATTATGGAAAATGTGAGCACTGTCATTTTGATGTTGACACCGAGAACTGTCCGTTTTCAGCTGTGTGTACCCAGGTGTCAAACCTGCAGCTTGATGCCTGATGTGTTTCAGTCAGCAGGCATAGAAGGACCTGCATTCACCTGTATTAGGAACAAAGATTATTATGTAACACCGGTAAATATATGGTAACAGTGGGACTCTTTGATCTTTGTGTCTGAGGAATGAATTATCTCATGCACCGTGTTTCCCATAGCAATCTCGCTTCTCCTCTTCCACGTCCCACTGCAGCATGGCATCCAGGGGCAGACTGACCATTTGGAAACTCGGGCACTGCCCGAGGGCCTGGGGTCAGTAGGGGGCCCCATGAGATGCCCCTGGTACCTTTTTCATAGGCTTTTTTGAGTTTGGGCAAGGACACAGGGGCCCCATGATCACCTATTGCCCGGGGGCCCCATGAGTTGTCAGTCCCCCCCCTGATGGCATCATAAAAGAAGTACCTTGCTGTTATGGGCTTTAAAGACAGTCACATGGATGATAGCTGCCTTCTTTGCCTGATAGGATGGGCGTGCAATACCTTTTTTTTTTTTTTTTTTTTCCCTCTTTTCACAGGCCTTGCCTGGTTTGTACACAGATGTTTTGGCAAAGCATTGTGTATATAGAACCAGGGCGGGTACTGGCACCGTACCTGTGCTTTGTATATAAACCGTAAAACCATTCCTCATACAGAATATCAATCCAAGTATAAGGCAGCCTCTTATCACCCTGAAATATTCAAGCTGTTATAATGGAGGTGGGAGTAGGCCCAGCTGTGTGTGGGAGAGTGGAGAACAGTGTGTTACGGAGCAATGAAATTTCCATTAACTTTCCCTGTGTGAGATTTGCTGTAAAGTCCAGTGTAACCCTTCACTGATCACCCCCTGCCCCTGCATAGCTCAGCATTTACTTTGCAGCTTACTAATGATCAGTGTATAAATGTAGGCGTGCTGTGGCAGGTAGAAGCTTCAGTCCCAGTTTGATTTTATTGGGGTGTTTAGTGATTTCAGTGTTACCAGCTGCCATTGACGCAATTTCTACACAATCTGCTAGCCTCACGTTTTTTATATCTCAAGTCACCACAGTTTCAAGACTTTCCGGACTCGTACCATTTACCTTGCAAAGCTGGCTGCTTTTATCCCCCTTTTTTTTTTTTGTGAATGACCCTGAATGCAAGCCTGCAAAAGTTGGGTGTTCCTAGGTTTCGTGACCTTTGTAATTCTCAGAAGTAAACTCCTGTGTGTGAAGTTTTGGATAAGTTCATCTTTTATAACACGTATTAAAGCAAGGGGAAGTTCCACTTTAAAGATTGGTCCCCCGCTTCCCATTAAGGATTGGCACCTTTGGGGAGCAGGGGGGGGGGGGAACGGGTACCCGAATTTGACAGGTACCTGCTCCCAATTCCGATCGGAAGCGGAAGTTGTCCTTCTACCCTCCCTCCCCGAAGTCTTGTGGGACACATGACAGGTCCCAGAAGACAATGGGGCCATTCAGGAAGCGCAGAGCTACTCACGCTGCGCAGTGGGCACCCGGCTGTGAAGCCGCAAGCTCTCACAGCCGGATGCCCACACTGAAGATGCCGGCGCCTGGAATACAGGAAGGCTGGTGAAACGGGCTGCGGCAGGGGCAAGGCGGGATCGTCGGACAGGTAAGTGACTGTTTTTTAAAAGTCAGCAGCTACAGTTTTTGTAGCTGCTGACCTTTATTTTTTTTTTTTTTACATAGTGCGTGGAACTCCGCTTTAAGGGTGTAAAATGTTATTGCTGCAGCTGCCCAAGTCCCTGCTGTGACAGCAGGTCAGGGATATTCTCCTCATGCCTGCTTTCACAATTTAAAAAAGACATGGCTGATCGAGGCTCCACCCACCCTGCTGCATCATTCTTTCAGAGTTCTGTGAATGGGAAACTACAGCTACCATCGACCTTTTGTGGCTGACGGCTTGTAGTTTTCAATGAACTACCAGAGCACTGGTGAGCACTCTGGTAGTTCATTGATTCTTCCTGTCAGAGTGGAACGGCCTGCCTTACAAAGTTTGAGCAGACAGCTACACTGGCAGTGTGCAGGAACCCTGAATTGTACCTGCAATCTGCTGATCGTGGGTGCAATGCTTTAAAGGCTCCTGATTAAAAATAAATTAATAAATGCACATTTTGTTTTTTTAAATATCCTTTTTTTTTTTTATCCTTTAAGGCCGAGCAGCTAACCATCCACACAATGATCAAAGGGGATCTCTTGCTCGGCACTGCTACCATTCACAGAATGCCTTGTGTATTTTTCAATGATTACAAGGCATTCTGTGATTAGTAGAGGTGGAGATTATGACCTCAACATTCCTTCTCTCTGCCTCATCCAATTTAAAGAACGCCTATATACTTTGAAAAAATTACAAAATGTTCTGTGAATGGTTGGCAGTACACTGTGATTAGTGTGAAGAGGGGAAGCTGCTCTGTTCAGGACTTGGAAAATAAAGGTGTCCTTTAATCCACTTACCTCCAGGTGCATTCCACTTGGTTAAAGGATCTGTAAGCCTAACATGAGCTTCTCTTGTTTTCATCCCTTTTTTCCATGTACTATTGAATGTGTTTTGTTATATCTTTTTTAATCTGTTGAGCTTCCCAGAAATCTCGTCAGTTGATAACTTTTTGTTTTGGGTTTAGATATTTACCTTCTGCCCTATTTCAGGGTTTTGCGTTGTGTGGTCCTGCAATGTGCTGAGCAGTATTTTCACTGAAATTGTCCCCGTTAGGTCTTCATGCCACATCCTCATTTAATCCTATGAACGCAGGACACCTTCCAGTGATACAGTAGATTATGGCGTTATACTGTATATAGGAATAAATAGGGTCATGGCGCTCATGTAAAGTATGAAGAGAAGCCAGTGGTGATGTTTCAGTAGAAAGGTAGTGTGATGTTGAGCAGGGACATTTAGTAAACATTGCTAGAATGGGCAGAAGGTAAGTATTTAGCCACGTGGGCTACATTAAAGGGCTGGGGGTATGGATTAAATGACTAAACTAAAGGTACAGTTTCCCTTTAAATTAAGTGGTCTTAGGATATCTGTAGCCACTCCTGGATAGTATCAGCCATATATCGATTGATGGAAGAAATGAGATGCATACAGATTGTTGGCTGTATATGTCAGCAGTTTTCATTCTCGTAATTCATTCATCTTTTTAACTTCATCCTGTAGGTTGAAGTGGGCAGATGAAGGATTTGTGTTCTTGTTTGGGAGGCAAAGTGGTTGCAGCTGGAAAGCTGAATGTGAAACCTTTCTATCATTTTGCAAGAATTGTTAAGGGAAACGTACTGTGATTCTCTACATCATCTTTGTCATAGCAGGACTAAAAGCAAAAAAAAAACTGTGAATATTACTTTACTATTTATTACAGGTACTTGTATAGTGCCATCAGTTTACACAGCGCTGTACATATATATTGTACATTCACATCAGTCCCTAACCCTCAAGGGGTGTACAATCTAAGGTCCCTAACTCACATTCATACATACACATACTAGGGCCAAATTAGACCGGATCTAATTAACCTACCAGCATCTCTTTGTGCCTGCGTGGGTTTCCTCCGGGTACTCCAGTTTCTTCCCACACTCCAGAGAAAACATGCAAACTCCAGGCAGGTCATGCCATGGTTGGGATTCGAGCCAACGATCCTAGTACTTCCAGGCGGAAGTGTTAACTATTTAGCCATTGTGCTGCCCCACTCTACATATGTAATTTTAAGTGTGTTCTTCTATCCAGACAGAAGGTGGAGCTCTAGTCTTCACTAGATTTCAGTATGTTATATATACAGTGGGGGGGGATTACTAAAACTGGTGTACTGTACATAGTAACCAACCAACCTCCAGGTTTTAGTCTCCAAGCTTAAAGTGAAGTCGGCTTTGTTTTTTTTTTTTTTTTTATTTAAATAACAAACATGTTATAATTGCCTGCTCTGTGCCATGGTTTTTGCACAGAGAAGCCCGTATTCTCCTCT